AACGGACATTGTCAGTTTTCAATTTTTTTAGTTTTTTTATTATAAATATTAACAAAAGCGTGAAAATTAAATGCAAAGCTCCTGATATATTGTTACAATAGCAGTTAAAAAATTAAAAAATACATAAGCACAATTTTTTTTATAATCGTTTAAAGTTTGAATTTTGACAAAATGTATCAAATATATTATTTGATAATTATTTTTTAGTTAAAAATGTATAAAATGTTCAACTTGTATAGCTAAGGATTGAAAATGTATAACAAGGTTCAACGTAAATTTTATTCACAATAATAATATCATCAAATATACTTAGTAATATCATAGGCTGATTGACCGTTTTCGCTCAGAATCATTTTTATTAAAAAATTACAAAAATTAATAGATATCATTGATTGACAAAATGAGTAAATAACGGCAAATTGCCGTATCATAGTCATGCAATGCAAAAAGACCAAGTATAGACAAATTCTTACAAAAAAAAAAATGTTATTTATATAATCCACACCAGCGCCTGTCCGCCCCCTAAATGTGTCAAAAATTGGCCGCCCGGGGCAACAGTACCCTGTAGCTCCCCCCTAAATATGGCCCTGCCTGATTTATTCTACGGACCAAGAAAATCATCTAATAAAATATCTTTTGAAAAACTCGAAAAACATTCTGAAACAGATTAAACAATTTAAAGCTTTCTATTGCAATTGTAGAGAGATTAATTAATCTATTGAATGTTTTATAAAAAAAATATAATCGATTAATTTTATAAGTAATACCATCGCGATTATGTATACTAGTAGGTACCTACCTATTTATACATTTATAATACTATAGTTATACCAAGTAAGATTTAAAGGGTGTTCATAGTTTACTTTTTCTATACCCAGGTAGCTATAAAGACAGCTCATACATAATTTTTTTTTCATCTCACGAAAAAAATAATATGATCAATGGTAATACTGTAATACAGCGGTACTCACCTTTTTATATCCACGTACCACCTACACAGTTTAAACATTTTCATGAACCACTAGATCAAATAACGTTTTTTTGCCTATCAAAAATGTTATTTTACATGTAAGTATACGGAATTTTATTTTATTAGGAACTACCAAAAAAAAATAATAATAATATAAGCATTTAATGCATAAAAAGAAAATTAAATGTGTAAATTATTATTTATATTATTATTAAATATATCAAATATACCAAATAATTTCTAATATGAACGATCTATTCCATTTTTTTATTTATAAAGGTAAAAGGGAGATGTTCTTAGTGTACCACCTATGAGCTTTCCACGTACCACAGGTTGAGAAACGCTGCTGTAAGAGGTAGCAATAGACACTTTTATAGTAATAAAAGTGTTTCCAAACTACAAAGATGTATGGGGTTACGTAGCATTTTGTAAGCTTGATATTGTAGAATATACATCGTTTCTCACCATTGCTTTAAGGAGTGAAGAGTGAATACACTTAGACACATCATTTTGGTGGACTATATAGTCGTTGCTTTTGCTTACAGTTTGTTTTTGCATAATTAATATCAACTAACTTGTAACTATTGCCACATGCGTTTTAAAAGATATTTATATTGGATGGGCCAATGTACACTGACTGACAGATATGACAGAGTTATAAATAAACTAGTACGTACAATAAAAAGTCCTAGCTGCTGATTAAGGTTTTTAAATAAAATTAATTAGAAACATCTAAATCAATTCTATACAATATATTAGCTACGTATTTTTATTTATTTTAAAAATAATTGTATCTGAAACGGCTAACCTTATTAGAATCAAAAACCAAATGCAAAAAATTATTTTTTTTTGCACTATTGTAATAGGTTATAGGTATCACGCTGTATGAAATTTTTGTTTGCTAAATCGCATATAAAATCTGCACGTGTGATGGCGTAATGCATCCCTACTGTGTTTAAGTGTTTTTACCTTACTTAATCTTCCTAGGTACCCAATCCTATACCGTATGGTGTATACTACTCTATAACCTAATAAGATAGTAGGTACTTCTAAAAAAATATTTTGTCATAAGGTTATTTAAAAATGAATTTTCCATAATTTTTATATTGAACTCTTAAATCTTTGAAAATTAGGTTTTAGATTCTGAGCGGAACAATGAATATTGTATTGGTTTTACAAAGATGCGTGTATTTTATGTAAATTATAGATGTACATACACAATTTATATTTTAAAAATTGAATCTACCTATAGTTGGAACTTTTGAGATGTCAAAATTGAAAATTTTATTCTCAGTACATATCAAAATTAAAAATAATCAGGATAAACAAAAACCGGAATTATTTACAAAAACTAGTTAGGTACCAGCATAATCAGATTTGTTTTTTTGTTATAATTCAAAACAATAACCTTAGACTTGAAATGTTTACTAAATATTCATATAAGCATTTACAAGACATATTATATAATTTTCAAAATATTTTATATTCTATTAAGTTTTTATTTCAGAAAATAAAAATACGCAATCAGAAGATTATTTTTGGATTCAAAAATTCAAAAATTCAAAGAATTCAAGATTATGTATTGTAAATTGTTTTATAGATAAAAAATGTTTAATATTTTGTGTTCATATCTAAATTTTACATACAAAAATTATAAAAAAAAGTTTGCAAATAACAAATTTCTATACTTTGGACGAATTTTGTAAATGGGTTTGGTGGGAAAAACAGTGACTGGTAAAATTTGTAAATAGGTTGACACGCAAACTGCAGTCTTGAAAATAACACGATATTGTGTACGATGTACGGTATAAATACTAAACAATTGCGCAAATCATTAGTTTTGAAATAATTATAGTGCAGTATGAATATTCATGCACGGGTACCTATATACATTTTGAATTTGGCAAATTTTTCGATTTTTAATAATTATCTACGATTACACTATGATAATAGGTTATAGGTATGTGTTTCAAAAAAAAAAAAAATAGCCTGGTAAAGAAGAAATATTCCATATTATATTTAGCGTGTGCTCGCGACATGCCAAATAGGTCTGCTGCCTATGTGGTATTGTGGTTATGTACTTATGTGATATGTCTCAGTTTTTCACCAATTCTCGCAAAATATTGAAAAAGGTTTTGTGTCGATATCTATAATACTGATACTCCAAAGCGGATGGGCCAACTTTACGTTCATAATATTATGTATACTTTATAACGGTATTATAAATGTTCTAATTCAATATTCATGAATCATGCGATTATTAAATAAAAATCGTTTCTAATTTAATTATTTTAACCAGGAATATACAAACCTCAGTCCCAAATAGGGTGGGGGCTTAAGGGGCCAATCACCCACAAAAATGTTCATAAGCTTTTCATTAAAATTAAAGTAGGGTTTTAGCTACCCAAAAACTCGCTATTTGCTATTCGCTATTTGCGTCTATGAAAATCTAAAATTGAAAAAAAAATTAAAATAATAACAGAAAAGCTGTTTACTAAGTGTCAAATGTGAATGGTCTTATCCAAAATAGGCTATATCATTCAAACTGTATGTTTTCGGCGTTTTAAAAACACGTCCACGTGCTTGAACAATTTGCCTATAGTGTGTAATTATTCGATTGTTTTAAATCGTTGTAAGATCATCTTAAGAGGAACTTGTGAGTTGTGACATCATATTTTCCAATTTTTGAAACACAAAAAAAATGAAGCTCCCCTCCCACCTCACATAGACCAATGTTCTAGCTATACTGCGGTACCAAAGAATATAAGTAGTGTAAGAAGATATCGGAAATAATAAGATATCATCTTAGTTTTTGTTTTTTTAATGTGATCAGTGATCACCTTAATGTGATTGAATATTGCTGTGTGGTATAGATTATAGGCTATAATAGCTATACTCCGTTCACGTTATAGAATACCTACCTATACTTGTATCGATTAGTATTTAGTAGAGGTTATGTGATACTATAGTGCTGTAAGTTGAAAATTAAAAATACAAAAGTAAGAAATACGATTATATTATAAAAATATATTAAAAATTTATTAATTATATTATTAGGTATAATAATAATTAATTATTTCAAGAGGACTCTACGGCTACACCCTCATGTGGTGTCTCCGTCTTTCAAATGTAAAACATAGAAAAACTGTTTTGCGCGGTTAAGAATCACTCGAACTATAGTCCAAGCTAAGCAACCAGATTTTCACACTATAAAAAGGAGAACATATTTAATTGTGCAACGTTGCTTTTATTTTTTCGATATCAGAACTAAAAAAAAAGTTATTCAAGTTCGAAAAACTCAAAAATAATCAATTTTTAACAATAAGAGCTTTTATTGTATTTATGGTATCGAACAATTAAAAACAATGTTGCACAGTCAATGTTCTTCTCTTTGTAGTGCGAAAATTGGTTGATTAACTTGGACTATACAATCTGAGTGGTTCTTACCCTCGCAAAACAGTTTTATTATTTTCTACATATTTTATAAGACGGGGACAACACATGCGGGTGTAGAGTCCTCTTAAAAACTAAAAAACGATGATATAATAAATGACCAGTGTTGAAATAAAAAGTAACATCAGAGCAAAAACCAAAAACCAAAATATTAAAAACCGTAAATATAAGTTATAACTATATAAGCCAACATATTATCAACAAACGCCGATTATTAAATTTATATATATTGAATAATGGTAGGTATAGACTATAGGTAGAGTTGATTATTATGTAACACGTTCAGACGTTCTAATTGGTAATTTGAAGTTCGAAGAATCGGGCTGATATTGGAATTTGGAAATAACGTTGAAAAACTAGACAGTGTAGTCTTATTAATATTATACTCATATTATAAAAATAAATACAACCACAAATATATTATCCGCTCGTTAATAAACATAGCCGAATAACCGTCATACACTCATACGATTCAATACGGTTCGCATACGTTATTGGTACTGCAAATTGTTAAGTGTCAATTTCTCGAGTTTTTTCCGATTTAATTATAATATAATATTATATTATATATATAATCATGTTCTTAAATGGTTTTATATACAGGCATAATGGGAAAAAAAATGGAATCGCGTAAGTAACAAAATATAATAATATATTACTGTATACCTACCTAGTATGAACTATAGGAATAATAGTTTACACGCTACAAACATGAAACAAATATTTAAAAATTAAAAATCAACTAACAGTTGATCGAATTTTGATTTTTATTAGGCATAAATCCTGTTTAGCTATTTTTTTCCTGAAACCATTGTACTTTTTTCAACCATTGAAGAACAATGGTGCAATCAGAATTTATCGGTTGGATTTAGATAGTTTCAAAGTATAACTTATATCCTTTAGAAGTTTAGTATTTTGCATATTTTATTTATAACTAAGGTTCGGGACTTTTTGCACTAATAGTCATCGAAATATGCAGTAAACATTTTCAAAATATGCTTAAATATATGCATCTAAATTTTAGTATTATTTTTGAAAAAAGGATTAGAAATAAAAAACTCGAAAATAAAATTTTAAGTAATTTAAATAAAAAAAAAATGCAAGCAGTGCAAAAATATGTTAGAAATTGTTCAAACATGCAGGGCTTTTCCTAAAATATAACAATATATGCAAAAATATTCAAATTCAAACTTTATATTTAATTTTGCCATTTCATAAAACAAATTTATAATTTACCTAGAATAATGTACTGACTACGAAGACTACAAAAAACATGCAAATGCAAGAAGTTCCGAAACCTATTTTAACACTATAATATTATTATAATTTATAAATATACCTACCTAATCATTTATAATCATTATTTAATTTCACAATATTCCCATTCGTCAACCCTTCAGATCTTTAATTTCTTTTAAAATTATTTTATTAACAATAACATAAAAACTTCTGATTCCACCATTTTTGTTGAGGTAAAAAAAATACAAATTTACGAAAAAAAATTCAAAAATGTAATTTTTTGGTAGGCACTTCAAACTTGCAAACACGACTTGAGAGTTATGAAGACTTTTTTACCGTCATTTCCAAAGGAGATTTGAATTTTTTTGAAAGCTCCATCATAAACATACATGTAAAACCACACATTTTCAAACAAAAAAATCACAAAAATCTCTTGAGCTAAACTGCATTCATCCCTAATCATTCACCATGTTTTATATTAATGACTTTAATATTTTTAGTTACTATAAATGTGCGAAATCTACGGAGTTCTTTTGTGATGGAACTGCTAGGAAAAACGTTGATGGTACATTTTCTGAATTAAAACCACATTCAAGAGCACACATTGCAAATAGAGACGATGAATCAAATCTGATTGTTTTATTTAGAGATGCATTGAAGGAACGATCTAAAAATGAAAACATCTCATTGAAACTAATTTATGATAATGAAGCACAAAGGTAACTCATATATGGTACACTAGTACATGTATTGAATAATATCATTAAAAAATATTGTTCTTTTATTAATAATTATATCTTGTACCATATACTATACATTTTTTAGTATCCTACTTGATCATGCTAATATATATTAATGTATTTTAGACACAGAGTTGCTGCTGGTCTTTATCCCTGGTCAACTGCAGAAAGTATAATGCGCTCTGTTAGGAGATCTTCCCTACCAGCTCTGCCTCAATCGTTGCATGAGTTAGCTGTCAAATTCGATAATGGAGATTTATCAAGATATATGTGTTGCAACAATTCCATATTTAGTGGATCAGTTAGAGATTCTGATGGTAATATTTATATTTAATTTTTAATTGTTTTTACAATAGTCAAATTATACCTTACAGAAATTAAAGTTTTGATGACAATATTGTCAAAATTTGATTCTTCAAAGATTCTTAGTTTTTTTTATCTAATAATCTATAGGTAGTAGATATCTGGATATACAATTTTAGTTTTATCTTTTATAATTACTATTTGTAAATACATTTTCTTAAAATTTACTAGGAATTTTTTTGATGATACCTATGTTATACTTTATATTTGATAAATATATTATGAAACATTCAGAACCCATAATTTGTATCAGTTCTTTATTAAATTAAATTCTAGTTACAATAATTAATAGATCAAAATACCTACATGGACAGTAGGCCCATAATATGATTATTTAGTTCATTATAATAATATATTGTATTTTATAATATTTATATTTATATATGCTAGGTACCTATTAATTTAAATTGTGTGATAAAATGTATAGAGAAATAAAGTATTATATCTGGATTACTAAGATAAAAAATGTATGTTTAGGTAAATACAGTGTTATATTAGCATGTAGACACTTAATTAATTTAGTTCTGTCACATGGCATAACCGAGGTCCACGCGGATGCTACATTTAAAGTAGTACCTGCTAATATGGGCAGTCAACTGCTGAGTATTCATTTTATGATGGATAATGTAGTAAGTGATATTTAATTTTATATTGAGTTAAGTTTTAATAATTATTTTTGATTTAGTTATTAATTATTATTATTTTGATACACAATACCTACCTAACAGAAAATGTTAATTAATCATTAATTAACATTTTTTATTGTAGTTAATTATTGTAATTAAAACATGATATTTTATTTTGCAGTCGATACCAATAGCCTATGCGCTAATGGAAACTAAATCAAGAAACTCGTATCAATGCGTGATGGATTATATGAAAAACAATTTATTTCCCAACTTATCGCCGTCATTGATAATGACTGATTTTGAACCAGCACTTAGAGATGCATTATCTTCTAGTGTAGGTGTTGAAGGGACACGTGTCTTAGGGTGTTGGTTCCATCATAATCAGGTCAGTATATCTAATGTTGATTAGAACTTTAAGTTGGTAATAAACCAATTTAGATTATTTTTCCAAAAAAGTTTATATAGGTACCTATATACACAAATCAAATGTAGATTTAAGTTTTTTATTTATAAACATTTACATTTTTTAGAGAAGAGTAAATGTTTTTAATTTTGTGAATAATTTGTTACTATTTATAAATATGGTTTATTGTTAAATATTGCATTTTGGACATTTTTCTATGCATTAGCATAATTTTATATCTGACTGATAACCGGCACCCGCTTATGCTGTCTAGTCCTGTATTAAAGGGAAATATAGCAAAATTACATTGCATGAAATAAAAGTAATACTCTGGGTTGAAATTTGAGTTTCTACACCTATTGCCTACTAAATTTGAATAAGACTATAAGAGACTATAAAAATATTTTTTAATTTTTAAATATTTATTATCCTTTTTGATAAAATATTATGTTTTTTTCTAAAATAAAATTAATTGTGTTGTAAATTTTCCAGTCTTGAAATAATATCACTAATTTCTACATTAAAACAATAATATTTTACAAATACTTATGTCATTTTCTCAAATATGGTGTATTTTATACTAGTTAGATAGGTGGAAGCAAATTAGGTTATTACTTCCTCTCAAAGTTTTATAACTATAACAAAACAAAATGTAGAAGTTCAGTATAAATAGTTATAAGCAATAAATATATATATCACTTAATATTTTTTAATTTTAATATAATTTTAATTTACAGGCAGTATGGAAAAAAATGAAATCATTAAATTATTTAGAAACCGTTAATTCAAATGCATATGCTTTGAAGACCTTAAAAATTCTAATGTGTTTGCCATTATTACCCAGTGCAGAAATTGAACAAGGTTTTCTACTGACTAAAGCATATGCTATCCACCACAACGTTCCATTAACTAACCTGTTTGAATATTACCAAAAGTATTACATCATAATAATTTTATGTACTATATAAATGTGTTTCAATTATTAAAATACACATTTTTTATTATGGTTAAACTTTAAAGTTACTGGATACGACGTGTCGGAGTTAACATCATATCCGTAAATGGTGTCTCAAGAAGGACAAATAACAACTTGGAGAGCTTTCATAACTTTTTGAGACACAAGTTTTCTATTGCACATCCAAATTTATGGGTCTTTCTTGGTAAGTTTAAATTAATTTCTATTTTTTATCTATGTAAAAACTAAAAACAACACCTTTTCACTATTAAAAAACAATATCTTTTAATACATTTTATTTTATTTTTGTCAATAAAATATAACTTTTTTCTTTTTTTATTGGTCTAAAGTATCGGCAACCATGGACATTAGCAATAGAACTTTTTATTATATCACCAGATGAAATCCACACAATGGTAAATTCAATTAACATAGGTTTAAACTTTCAAGTTTGGATCTAAAATTAGAATGTACCTTTGAGTGTTTCAGTGGTGGTTTTATGCTATACCATAAGTTCTTGAATACATACCTAACTATTTTAAAATGTAATACTACCAATATTGGTATATAGGTAATAATAGATGTGGGTAATATTATACCTAATGTCTTAATGTCAAGTAAACACTATACTGTACAATGTGTATTAGTGTATAATATTAAAATAATTTGCAAAGGTGTTGAACATTTAATTGACTATTTAGTATTTAGTTGTACCTCATATATTTGGTGTGCTATTTCCCAGATGGGCCCTCATTACATTCTCATAGCAGGATTTAAAAATATTGTGTCACTTTCCAAAAAATCAACATTAAATAAATTAAGCTTTTAGCTAGGTATATTATCATTTATGATTACTTGTTATAAATGGTTTAAACTATAAAGTAAACATTTATTAGAGTCACTTTACAAATTATATAATATGGTAGGCATTTAACTATACATATGATGTTAATTGTTAAGACAATCTTTGACTGTTTGCTAAACTGCATAATTTGATAATATGAAGCTATGTCATAGACATATAAATATTAACATATACATATTAATATGCATAGGCGTGCGCAGACCTTGCTGGCAGGGGGGGCAGAATGTAATAATGTACCTATAGGTATATTATATAATATATAGGTAAGTAAATATTATTTTGGTTATTAGTTCAATTAATGTAAGTGATGGAAGTATTTTCATTTTATGTATCATTAAAACTACAAATAACTACAAATTTAATATAGTAATTGAAACTCCAAAGTTTTTTTATATTATATTAATATACATGAACAAAGAAAATTATTACATTCATACAGTGGTGGATCCAGGGGGATGGCAAAGGGGGCATTTGCCCCCCCCCCCCAATAACCGTAGTTTTCCTTTGTTTTACACTGTGTTTAGCCAATTTTGGAACTTTCATATACTTTTGAGCCCCCCATGCCCCTCCCAAAATTAAGCCCTGGATCCGCCACTGCATTCATATATATTTTTATGCCCGATGTGTTGGTGAAATCTGAATTTACTAATTCTACTTACTTTTTATTTACAATTACAAAAAAAGTAAGTAAGATAGGTAAATTATTATTTGCACCAACACGTTGAACATATTATAAATATCAACATTTAAAAAAAAATTTAAATCCTTAGTATTGCATTTACATGATTTTTCCAAAAATAGTACCACTATTATATCATGCATTAATGTATCAATAATATTCTATTCTTTGGTAATATTGAAATTTATACATTATTGTAGGCATGTAACCTATTATTTAAACTGTTTTATACATTATACTTTATAGGTATTTAATAGTATTAGGTATATAATAAACAATTTGATTTGTAGGTTACAGTATAAATAGAAAATTAATTTCAATATAAAACACCACATTAAAAAAAAAGATAGGTATATTCTGATTTAATCAACACGTTGAGCATAAAAATACTATAATACTAAAAATTCCGAAAATTGCTTCGGAAGTAAAGAGCTATAATATTTGTTCGTATACTGCATACTAATTATTATAATTATTAATTACTAATTATTTAAAGAACCGACCTTCTTAGCGCTTCCGGTGAACGTTTTTCGCATTAAATGCCGTCAAATTACTACTCACTTTCATGTCTCATCACATCTCAATCTACATCATGCTATAATAAGATTATAAGCACTCGTTATCACCGCGGTATCGCTTGTGGTTCGCTTAAAGTTGGACAACATAAAATCATCGTGCACTGTACATCGAGCACTCAATGTTTACATAATATTCATTATATAAAACTGTATTATAATATTTTTTTAAAAACTTTGTTATTTTGTAAGAAAACTTGAGCCCGCAGGAGGGGCAGCTGCCCACCCTGCCCCTCCCGTGCGCACGCCTATGTTAATATGTCTATGAGCTATATATTATTATATTTTATAAGTTATATTGTTATAAACATTATATATATATATTTATATACATATTATTATATTATGTTCGTATAATAAACACATAATATATTATAAATAATTATTATAATAATAAATTTGGTTAAATCATCAGGTCAAATATGTGAGTTGAGCCAAAAGTACCACACGACGGTTACTCAAATTTCCAATGGTCTGCAACCAACAAGGAACCTTAAAACTAAGTACCTTCTAAACTCAAGGTTGATAAAAAGGGCTGTTGAACATCATGAAGCAGGTCTATTAAGTGTATGGCAATTTCTAGTGAAATGTTCATACTCATGTGCTGGCTATGAAAGAAGGCAAAGACATTGGGCACTTGGTAATGAACATGATCATGAGTCAAATGATGATGTTTTGCAAGACGACTTTGTTGAACCAGGTCCAGAAGTACCACAAAATGCACCAGAAGTAGTACACAATCCAAGGAATTGTATGGTTTGTTTAACTACTACTCCTGGTGAAAATGTAGCTCAACATATAGTGTTGCCTTGTGGTCACGCCTGGGTGTGCGAAACATGCGTTTCAGTGTTGGATGGTCAACATCGTAGAACGTGCCCAGTTTGTCGAGGAGATGTACTTCGTTTTCAAAGAATGTTTTTGTCTTAATCTATTTGTTAATAATTCATTATTTTGTATTAATATACCTATTCAATTAAAATTTTATATTATATATACAATTATTATGAATATTAAGTACCTACCTAGTCACCTGCATCATGTACATAATATAGTGTATAGTTATATACTGAAATGTAGTTATTACTCTTTTGTATTTTTTTTAAAGAATACCAAATGTTAAAATTGAAAAAGTAATTCTGAGATTTAAATTAAATATTTTATTATATAGGTTAGTATCCATAATTAATGAAAGGTTCTTTTGATGAAACCAATCTACTTATAACGAGGGTTGAGGGAATGAGGGATGACCCATATACTAGAACAGAGTTGGTATCTAAAACAAAACACATTTAATTTGTTTGATTAAGTAAGAGGTACTTGATACCAACTTAATTTATAATTTTTAAATACAAGATTCTAATTACTAAATTGTAAACCTATTAAATAAGTAAGTTACAACCAGGTTTTTAAAGAATACCTATAAAAAGTGTTTAAAAACTTTTACCCACTTTAGGTAGTAATTTATTTAAAGAAACAACCATGTAAAAACAAAATATATTTTTGTACAAGTATTTGATGAAAATACAAAAGTTGTAATGTGAAAAACAAGCTATAATATTGAACAAGTGTTATCAAAATAAAATTTGTTAAAAAAAAAAGTAGCTATTTTAAATAGGTAGGTACTATATTAAGTTTTAAGGCAAAAATATTAGAAACTTATTTAAAAAGTGTTCTACACCAAAAAAACCTTTAAATTGGTAGGTATTTATCAACACTGGTTATAACTTACTAGATAAGATACAATACAAATTATGTCTACTGGCTAGTGGCTACTACCGAGGTCCAAGGTACTCTGCTGCGTTAAAGATACAAAACTATACACAAAAAAGATGTACATTATAATAATTATTCATTAACTATATTATTTTTAACTAAGAAAATATTTTTTTGATATTCTTTATTAATATTATTTTATGTTCGTGAAAGAAAAATAAATTAACAACTCGTTATAAATCATATTGTATACACCTATCATACGACTAATTAGTACCTAGGTAGTAGTAGGTACTTAAATAATGTGATTGAAATCTTGTATACACAATACACATTTTATGAATTTTTTTTAATATACCTAACAATAAAAATATACGTATGACGTATCGGAAATCGCCCTGTTTATTATTTTATTAGTTATACGGGCTTAGCCTTTTTTGACATTTACAATACAATATATAAAAAAAATAAATATTAAAATAACTATTTTTACTCAAATTCCGTTTTTCTTTTATTATTAAAAATAAAAGTGTTTAAGACTTGTTTCAAGTTTTTACTAACATAATTCAAACCGGTTGATTTATAATTTATAAAGTTTTTAAAAATGTAAAAGAATACATACTATGTAATATAGATAGGTACCTACTTAACATTTTAACTGAAATACCTACTGAACACTAATTAGATACTGAATAGTGAATAGGGTCTGTTATTTAGTTATTAGTTAAATAGATCCATGACAACAAAATATAAATACCTACACTTTATTATAAAACATTAAACAAGTACGAATTTCAAAATGTCTTAAGTCATATGAAGTTATGTCTAGAATGGTGGTGATGTTTGTATTGACATTGAATATTTTCTGCATTTAGGTAGTATGTATAGGTACCTAACTTATTATTATTAATTTTGAATTGATAATAGATATTATTTGATTTTTAAAGTATTTTTTTTCATTTCGGCCTTCCCTGACATCTTCCAAATTAAACTTATGAATTTATTACCTAAAAATCAAAACATTTCGAGACTAAAAAATGGTTGATTTGTTTATATTTATATTATAAAATGGTTCAAAAACTTCAAAATCATTGTATTTAATTATGTGGTACCTATATTTTAAACTAAATAGCTAGGTAGGTAGTTAATTAACCTCAAAAATGTATTTTCATTTTATCAAAAAGTCATGTTAGGACTTAGGAGGGACTCTTTGTGCCTTCCATTTAAGATAAAAATTATATGTTCGCAACTGTCGTAAATTTTGCTAATAATAAATAATTTATAAAAGATTTTAAAAAAAACCTAAGTTGATTCGACCATTTTGTAATTAGATGTACCTATGTTGAGAATCATTGGTTTATGGTATTATAAATTCCGTCATTTTACTTTCCGCTAAATTACGGTCCGTGATTTTACGTTCCTGGATAATACAGTCCAGGGTATTACTATCCGTGATATTACATTCCTCATTTTTCTGGTTCCGTAATTATACTATCCGTGATATTACATTCCGTATTTTTCTGGTTCCGTAAATTTACGTTCCACAAAATTATGGTTTGAACAACTAAATTCCGTTATTTTACGTTCCGCAGTATTACGGTCCGTAATTTTACTTTCCGTATTTTTTATCATTCCGGTCAATTATTTTCCGTAAAATTACGGCCTCCCAGCTGTGCTCCTGGATATGTACGCAGACAACAAGGTTCCTGGTTAGGACAATGTTACAAAGAAGATACAGAAATCTGTCCAGTAGGAATGTATGGATCACCACCGAGAGGAATACCGTGTAGACATTGTCCTTGTCCATTAACATCATCTGGCAATCAGTAATTAACAATTGTTTTTATTTTTAATAAAAATGTCAAACATTTTTTTGGAATAATTGTCGTCTCTTTAAGATTTGGTAAAGGTTGCTACCTAGATACTGATGGTTTACCAACATGTAATTGTATTGATGGATATGTTGGACGAAGGTGCGAACAATGTGCCTCTGGATATTCAGGAAATCCTTTACAACCAAGAGATTATTGCAAACAAGGTAAACAAACTAAAAAATAAGGTTACCATTAAGAGTAGGTATTCTGCCGTGATCACACTTTATGATAATTAATTTTTCAGGTATATGTGATGCAGTTGGTTCAACGGGGTTCAATGGTTTCACCATTCCCTGATGAGAGTACTGGAAAATGTGTCTGCAAGGTAAGTCTAATGTATAAATATTCTATGTTTCCGGAATAAATTAATAATTCTGCCATATTTTATTTGCTAATGCTGTCTTATTTACTAACACTTGTGGTAAGTATAATTTATAATTATTGCAATAAAATGTTTTTCCTATTTTATGGTTTCCATAAAAAACCAGAAATCAAGTATAAAGTATTAACATATTTTTTTTCATTAACTTTTAATTAGGATTATACAACTGGTGATTTATGTAACCAATGTAAGGCTAACACGTTCAACATTGCACCAGATAATCAATTTGGTTGCATCAGCTGTTTCTGCATGGGTCTATCCAATCAATGCACCAGTTCTAGGCTGTATAGACAAGAAGTAAATATTATTTGACTCATGAGATTTTTCAGTTGACAGTATGTATACAAACGTATAATGTTATAGGTGCACGCAACATTCGCAAGGACCCACCAAGACAAAAAATTAATTTAGCGTAAAAACTTTGTTCCGTTACCAAATTTAGAAGTGGACTCAAGTACAAGAGAACTTATTTACAGAGACTTTCCACCAGGCAGTCAAGAAGTATAAACAATCACTGTTAAATTCTATACCAACTGGAAAAATTTCTTTATATGCTATATTATTATTAGGTCTATTATTGGCAATTACCTCCACGGTTTCTGGGAAATAAAATAACTTCATATGGTGGTTCTCTAAGTTACATCTTAAGACATGTTCCAGTTCCAGGTGGTCAATCTTCCAAAAACAGTGCACCAGATATCGAACTTATAAGTGTAAATATTCAAATAATTATCGCAAACAAAAGAATTTCTGTTGTCATTTTTTGTTCTAAAATTTCAGGAAAACAAAATCCGTTTATTGCATTATAGTCGTGAAAACGTTGAACCAAATACTTTAAAAACCACTTCAGTTAAGCTATTAGAACAAAATTGGCAACGACCAGATGGTCAGGTTGCAGATCGCAAACATTTATTAATGGCATTAGCTGGTTTGAAATCCATACTAATTAAAGCAACATACACAACTGGTACTAAAGAAGTAGCATAAGTATATTTATAGTGGCAATACAGTGGTAAAAAAATATGCTGCTTGAGATTATTATTGATTATTATCATTTTCTACCACAGGATACAGTCAGTAACGCTTGAGATCACTGATTCATTCAATACCGGAAAAAATAGAGCTGTTGAAGTGGAAGAATGTTTGTGCCCAGAAGGTTACAAAGGTCTGTCTTGTGAAGAATGTGCTGTTGGCTACACGAGAAATGGCCAAGGCCTCTATTTAGAAATCTGCGAACAATGCACATGTAACGGTCATTCAAATCATTGTGATCCTGACTCGGGAATTTGTTTTGTAAGTCAATATTAATTGAATGATAAATTAAGTATTATTAATTATTAAGCATGATGTATACTAATAAATTCTGAACTTACAGAACTGTCAAAATCATACAACAGGAGATACATGTGATGTGTGTTTACCTGATTATACAGGTAACCCACTAAAAGACATACCATGTGAAGCCAATGAAGAGATTTCGGCCTGTGATTGTGATTCTCAGGATACTTTACTGCCTTGTCAAGACAATAGATGTGTTTGCAAAGTATAACAAAATATATAATTAAGTAATAGGATAAATAGATCAAATATGTATAAATAATTAACATTTATAGACCAATGTCGAAGGACCTCGTTGTGACCGTTGTAGACCTGGTACATTTGACTTATCAGAAAATCATGTAGAAGGATGTTTAGAGTGTTTCTGTTCTGGAGTTTCCCAAAACTGTTATCCTTCCAATTTATTTGTTACTCAAATTCCAATGCAGTTATTTGGACAAAGTCACGGTTTTACTTTAACTGATAGGTATTTCCTATAATTTATTTATATATTGTCGATGCTCAGAAATTAAACTAATTAAAAATGTATATTCTCAGTACTAGAAATAGGTTCATTAAATCTGGATTTTCAACTGACGTGTCTAGAAATGAAATTGGCTATGACTATACACCTAATCGCGGTGAACAACTATTTTGGTCGTTGCCATCTTCTTTTACAGGAAATAAGGTATTGTATTATAAGTTCATGGAAATTATGCAATGAGTAGTAATAATACATTATAAAAATAATTTAAGCTCAATTATATGGATTATGTATTAAATTTAGGTTACATCCTTTGGAGGTTTCCTTAACTGGACCCAACGCTATACCACTTTTCCAGGGTCCACAATACGTGATGACACCGACATAATACTTGTTGGAAGTGGAATATGGTTATTTAAATCAAACGATAAAAAAGTTCTGCCAGGCGAAACAACTGTATATATTTTCACCCTAAAGTTTAATTATATAAATGTATATTTTATTTTATTTTTATTATAGGTACTAAATACTCATTTAGTAGAAAAAGGTTGGCGTCGATTAATTTCCTCAGGACCACAACCAGCATCAAGAGCTGAACTTATGAAAGTACTTTCGTCTATTGAAGCCATCCTAATTCGTGCGATACATGCTTCTCAGACTAATAGAACATACCTCAGTGATGTGAGTTTAGATACAGCTATTGAATCTGAGACTGGTAGTGAACGATCAACCAGTGTTGAAATATGCAGATGTCCAGTTGGTCACAGAGGAACATCATGTGAAGTATGTAGAATAATCTCTATCAAATGTACGGTAGTCTTTATTAAATCATTTTTCAAATTAGATGTGTAGGGTTGGATATTACAAGGATACCAATGACCAATGCTCAAGATGCCTATGTAATGCTAACGAAGAAAGTTGCTCACTAGGCTCAGACTCAAGAGTATGTATAGTTCTCAATATAGTATCATACCTACCGTTCTCTACAGGTTGCGTCAGCGGTTTTAAATCGGAAACCCGTACGTACAACTTGATGAAGGACTCGGTGGACAAACAAGGTTTGGGCACGTGTGATGTTTGTTCCAACAATCAATGTTTGAACCAAGGTATCTGCCAAGAGGCTCAAACCAGACAGGGGTACACGTGCATATGTCAACCCGGCTACAGCGGCGAGTATTGTGACAAGATAAGTGAAGTTTGCACGCCGGGTAAGTTGGAAAGGTTTTTCGAAATCGCACTTAGCAAAATTTACTCGTTGTATAACAATTAAATCATTTTTTCTATTGAAATTGTTTGCGATTATTATAGGAATCTGTGGGCTCGGTGAATGTTTGGCTGGACACGAAGAAATCGAATGCAAATGTAAAATCGGCACTCTCGGGAAGAGATGCGAACGTTCCGTTGAAATCGTCGAACCGTATTTCGGAGGCAAATCTTATCTAGCGTACCCGGCACCGACTTCGCAACAGAAGTATTTAAAAAAAAACCACTCTTACCCAAAATATATTGATTTAATGATTTACATACATCGTTTTCTATAGCGGTCGGAAAATGTTTTAATCGTATTGTTTTCACGTATTTCAGACTAACGATATCCTTGAAAATCAATCCGGCGTCCTTGACTGACGGTGTGATTCTGTACGCCGCTCAAAACCACCAAGGAATCGGCCAATTCATGTCAGTGACGTTGAAAAACAGACAAGTGGAATTCCGCTACACCGTGGCCGGTATGTTAAAATTTGATAACCTGCAGGGCTCGTTAAATTATGAATTCGCTTATTTTTTGTGAAAATTATTTTGACAAATATGATCCTGTTATACCTAAGTTAATTCTAAATTAAAAAACATTTTAGCACATATTTTGGGTTTTTTACGTAATACATAATATAATATACACCATACATAATATTGTCAAAAAATGTTAGTTTTCATTGTACCTATATTCCGACTTTTAAAATAATATTTCAAAAATTGTATATAGCATAATTCCCGAGCCCTAATTATTATTTTGTTTATGATATTATATTGATCTTATTTATAGTATTTTACTTGTTATCGAATCGACGTATTGTAACTTTTTAATTTCGTTCAGGTATGACGTCCATGCTGCGAAGCAGACAAAATTTGGAAATTGGAGAGTGGACTACGATAACCGTTAGCCGTAACACTGAAACACAGGAATGCAAATTGTCAGTCAATAAAGAAACGCCAATCAGATCCATCGAAAACGGTAATATGCACGCCTTGGAACTGAAAACTCACCTGTTTGTGGGCGGTTACGATTCGTACAAGGTGAAAATCGCTAAATCCGTGGAAGTCGAGAACAATTTCAAAGGATGCATAAAAATGGTAATGCCTGTAGTCTCTGGATGTTTGATTTTTATAATTATGTATAGATCACGAAGATCTAACAATTGTGTTGAATGCTAACTTACAGATATAGTTGAAGCTGGACTAACTATTGTGTCCACAACTTCACCATACATTATATTATATTTGTATTTACATAATCTTGACATAAAGGTAGCTTCGAAATTTTTTTTGTTTCTATTATTATTATACATTTTAATTACACTCGATGATATAGGTACACGCCGTTACGTTACTCGCGAGTTAATACGTTCGGAATCAAATTAATTTTTGTTTATTGACATATAGTCCATATAGATATAACGCATTAATATATTTTTTTATAAAGAATAAAAAACCTACATAAAAACTTGAAAGTATAATCAAACTAAAACTTTTGTCAAATTGCGATCAAAGCTTGTCAAATTAATTTAATTATAGTTTCATGTACTTCTCACTATAATATAATACAATAAAAAATAAAAATCAATAAATAATTACCTTATAAATTAATCATTATTTATAATTTAATATACGTTTGTAATTGAAACACTATGCCTGATCTTCTTGATACATCTGGCGCAATATGCACATCATGTATGCTTACACCAAATGCCCAATTAATAAACAAAATGTCTGTTTCAGCTCAAAGTGTCCGGAATGGACTTGGACATGATAAGTTCTACAGTGGATTCCGCTAATACTGAAGACTGCGTAGTTGCTCGGGGAGACGCCTGTTCTTATAACCACTGCAAGAATTACGCGAACTGCCACACCGTGTCCAAACACTACGAATACGTATGCGAATGTGAAAACGGATTCAGGTAAACCGATTTCGATCGAATTGAATAATATTATGATTATGATTTTTTACCGGTCGTGTATAATACTGAAATGGGACGTGTTTTTATATGTAGTGGTCCGAAGTGTGACGTCGAAGCGAAGTTGTGTTCGACGCTGAAACCGTGTCTCAACGACGGCATCTGCACAGACATCGATTCGAGCTCGTACAGGTGCGATTGCCCTCTCGGACATTCGGGACCGACGTGCAACGAAAGTGCGTATTGATGGTGGTAGACAATTTTTAATTTTTGTATTTTTAACGCGGAATTTTTTCGCAGAGGTGGTGTTGGACATCACAGCCAATTTTAGCGGCAACAGTTACCTGCAATTGGAAAACAGTCTACTGGACCGGAACAAGAGGGAACATTCCATATCGATGACGTTCACCACAGATTCAGCCAACGGTCTGTTGTACTGGCAAGGCCAAGAACCTAACAACGATGGCGTGGTCGACAATTACATCGCCATCTCGAGTGAGCCAATAACCGTCAATTATATTAATAATAAATCGTTGCAAATTCAGTTTAATATTTGAATTTTTTTTTATATAATTAATATTCATTTCCTTTTAAATAAATCGTGTCTCGTTTTGCAGTCGTCAACGGCTACGTGGAACTGAGTCACAGGTTCCAAGGCAGATCGACACCAGCAATCCGAGCCACGGACCACCACGTCAACAACAACGAACCCCACGTGATATTGATCCACGGGAACGGGGCCGAATGGTCTCTGGAACTGGATAGGTCGACCACAGAATACGGTAAAGAACGCGACGTGGACATCCAACAGCTCTTGGAATCCACCGATTTGATATATATAGGTAAGTCAAAACAGCGCTTATTTATTGTCTATACCCTAGTCAGAGGTAGGGAGCCTAGGGAGTCGTGACGACCCCTCACTCATCGAAACACATTTTTATCAATTATTTAAATTTAAATTATTATACTTATATTTCTAATGTCAATGCATTATAATTAATAATTATGTATTCAAATCAATTAAGTTGTAGATTTATGTTATGGTAACTACTAACTATTATTAGTTGTTATCAAGAAATGAAATTAATGTAGGTTTTATTTTGCATGGATTAGCACTGAACAGTAGTAAAAAACAACTATACAACTAAAACAACTATATATATCAAGTGTGTAGGGAAGTTTTTTTTATTTAATTAGCGTTTTTTAAGTTTAAATCATAGATGTCAATAATCAAGAACTTAACATAAGTACTTGACGCCGGTCCTTACTTCTTAGTGGTTTTAGTAAAAAAAAAGTAAAACCTGTCCTTGGGTTTTTGAGTTTTGAAAAAAGCGAATTCTTTTACACAGGTGGAGTACCGGAAGTCATACTGACGACGAACGACAACCATTACAAAGGGTATGAGGGTTGTATCGGTGACGTGCGTGTCCAGGACTCAGGATACGTGAATCTGGGCCAAAAGTCGTTGTCCGGCAAAAACGTTGCTTCGTGTAACAGGTAATTACGTCATACCATGGACGATATTATTTTATGTGCATTAATATAATATAAAATATTATTCGCAGGGCTGTGAAAGCGCAGTAAAAAACTTATTAAAGAACTTAATTCCTTCTACAAAAGCCCAATAAGACAATTTAAAAAACACTCAAACTCATTATATGTTCACAGCCCTGATTGTGTTTTTGTTTGCCGAACCTAATAAGTTATTTATTTTATCTTTGTCTTTCCGACACGCTGCTTTTTCGCGACTCGTGACGGGTAAATAACACTAAAATAACACTAATCGATCGTTTTCGTTTACGACTCAGCTATTATTATAAAAAGAACGACTTGAGGCGTATACCGTCTTCGTTGATATTCACACAAACCACTAACGACCAAGTGGTGTTTCAGGTGGACCCGCGGTGGCCCACGGACCCCGCGTGGCCGGACCTCAACGAAACCGGAAACGTTGTGTCCGACACCAATAACGAATGCTTTTGTACACACAATAACTTTAGCATAAGGCTTATGTTAACTACGTTGTTTTTGATATTATTGTTGACTAATTTATAACGTTCCGTGGGAAAATATTACCATTTTACCAATATGTTATTATCCTATGTATGTATATATATATATATATATATATAAATTAATATATTATATACCACACTGGTTGTGATTTTATGTTATGTACCATAATAGAGTATATTATGTATATTGTGTATAATATATATATTATATACTTATTTATAATAAGTGCTATTACAATAAGTATTATATTATTATGAAAATATGTATTTTGTCTGATGCGTATACAGTCGACGGCTGCAAAAAATGTTAAAATAATTATTCGCAAATCGTTTCGTTTTACACCGTCCGACTGAAAAACATAGTTATTACTTATTAGGTATGTATCACCCAATATCGTTATTCGTTCCACATCGTAAAAATGCATTAAAAAAATAATAAACGTAAAGACTTAGGCATAGGAAATTTTATTACGTTGAACTTTTATATTTTTTTATAACAAAATAATATATATAGGTACCTATATAATATTAACGTTTATTACTTAAGATGTCACTAAGGCATTTTAAAAGAAAAAGTCAAATTTAAGTCAATTTTACGCCAAAAACATATCTATATTTTATATTATAATTTAACGGAAACATGCACTTTTGAATGAGGGATATTCATACATATTCCCCTTTATAATATTGCCCAAACGTACATATGTAACGTGAACGACGGGGCACGGTATATTCGAAAACCTACACACATTATATATAAATATATATATATATATATAGGTACCTACGATCTACCACCGCGTCTGTAAGTCTGTATAATAATGTACTTTTTTAAAAAAACGCAGTAAACACGCGTCTCTCAGTTTTCGCACATAATATTAACAATTAGTAACAACTTGTCGCATTGGTGCAATTATATAGGGTGATGCTATAATGAATTATATTGTATTCGACGTTCGTGCTCTTGCCTCTTATTAGTATCAATGTTTTATTAATTATGATTTAAAAATAGTTTCTAAAAGTAGGTACTATATGAAAACAAATAAAAGTAATAATAAACGAGACAATTGTTTTTTCACGAGGAGGAAATATAAAAGTACGATGTTTATATTACTTTTACAGTCTGATGTTTATAATGTGAGTTTATCGTCGGTAAATATGCTGATCGATTTTTGTTGTTATTCTTGTTGGAGTCAGTGGCGTATTTAGGGAGGGGGGTGACCGGGGGCAATTGCCCCGGGGCCCCAAATTCTGAGTCCTCAAAGGGGCGCCGTCGCTAGAGGTTTTAACAAAATTATTTTTTTATTTTATTGGATTTGTTACGAAATTATATTAGTGATAGCTGATAAGTGAATACCTGTATCTTTCTTATAATATCTTTTACGTTTCTATACATATTTCTATATTAATAAAATTGAATCTCTGGATCGAGCGTCCGATCGCCTGTTGTGTAAAGTAAACTTTCAAAAATGTCAAGATACAAAGATTTTCAAAAAAAATACCGTTTTTTAAATTATATTTTCGGTTTTTAGTTATAATACAGGTATCCATTTTTTTTTTCGAGTCGGTATCGAATTTAATGATTAATGCCGGTTTCCAATGTTTTTCCGGTTTTGGTTTTGATTTTGTTCTCGGTTTCGGTTTTATATCGGTTTATAGTGTTTATACCGGTTTCAAGCCCTGCACTATTAACTGAGATAAAAAGTAAATTGTAAATTAGAGGGGGCTTAAAAGTTTTTCGTGACAATGAATAAAAGGACACTAAAAAAAAAGGGGCGCCAAAATCGTAAATACGCCATTGGTTGGAGTAAGTAATTCTCACGTGTTTGAAAACAGGGGACAGTGAAAGAAAATTATGTTTAATTTGAATTCGGTTTTATAAAAAATATCTTTATATTATGTTGTATTTAAAAATACGGATACATTAAAATAATTAAGAAGCACCTAATTATAGACAAAATAATAACACTTATTTTGTTAGTAATATTTATTTTAATGATTAAAGTAAACATAGCACAATTTTATTTTATTTTAGATTCTGAGTGAAACGATGAATGTATTGATTTTACAATGATGTGTGTTTTTTTTTTTATTTTTTTATTTTATTTTTTATTTTTATATTTATTTTTTTTGTGTCTGTGTACACGATAAGTAGTCGAAATAATGCTTCGATTTTCGACTTCAGTATCTTGTTCGATTGGAAAGTGAATATCGTTGGTGCATTGGGGAGGTCAAAATTTAAATTTCCCAGTAGTTTTCAAGAGCGCCGGGAAAAACAAAAGAAAAATTAAGGAAAAACGGGAATTTTTACGCAAAATCGATTTTTCAGAAAATTGAATTTGGTTTTTGGTGTAACTTTAAAACAAATGACCGTAGGTACATGCAATTTTCACTGGTTGTTTATATTTGCATCTTCTATACACGATAACATTTTCAAAATATTTTGATTTATTTTGAACAGTTTAGGGACATTTTCATTTTTAGTTTTTTTTTAGTTTTTTTTCTAGAAATATCAATAAAATTTTATTTGTTGGTTGCGAAAGCTTGAAAATTTAATAGAAGGCTCCTAATATATTGTTTCAAGGGCAGATGAAAAATATTAAAAATCCTTAGTCACAATTTTTTTTTATAAGCATTTAAAGTTCAAAAATTGACAAAATATGGAAAAATCACGAAAATTAGCAAATTATTTTGAGTTAAGAATTCGTAAAAATTTTCTTTTTAAATCTAAGATTTGAAAATCTAATACAAGATTACTCATAAGATTGTCTACCTTTATCAATAAAAAAATCTCTACCGGAAAGTCAAATTACATTTTTATGAGCGTTTGAAATTCAAATTTTTACAACATTGGATATTCACTCGATTTCTCATGTGGCAATTTCCTTTTTTTGTTGTAATTAAAAAATGAATTACTGTAGATACATGAAAATTTCACTGAATGTTTATATTAGCATTTCCTATACACCATACAATTTTGAAAATATTTTGACTCTTTTTGAGCCGTTTACGGACATTTTCAGTTTTCAATTTTTTTAGTTTTTTTTTCTATAAATATTAATTAAGTTTTATCTGTTGGGCCAAAAAGTGTAAAAATTTAATACAAGGCTCCTGATATATTGTTACAATATCAGTTGAAAAATATTAAAAATACATAGGCACAATTTTTTTTTATAAGCATTTTAACATCGAATTTTGACAGAATTTTTCAAAATCTCGAAAATTATTAATCATCGTAATTAATAAATTATAAAATGTTCAGTTTTTATAGCTAAGGATTGAAAATTTAAAACAAGATTCCACGTAAGTAGTTAATTCTCTTACCGAAAAATCTAAAAAATATACAATCACAGTTTATTTTTATAGTCATTTTATGTTCAAATTTTGACGAAATTACATATTAAAAAACCTAGTTATTTTGTTGTGATTATATAATATTATTCGTTGGTACCTACTTGAAACTTCTAAAGTGTACTATTATATATATATGATAGTATCAGGGTTTGTTGTTGGTGTATAACGTGTTATTAGTACCTAATGGATATTGTGATAATGTGATATGATTAATTTGGAATTTATTATAGGTCAATTTTTTTTAATACCATAGATATGTATATAATTTGTCTTAACCTAGACTGACATACCGTCTTCGCTCAGAATCGTTTTTCTTATACAATGATATTGTATCATTGAATTCAAATTTAATAGCATCAATTATACAGTGACCCACTTGTAACCTACTGTACAGCAGAGCGACATCCACTTACCCACCTTTTTTTTTTTTAAATTTATTTGAATATATACAATCTGTAATAATAGTTACAATGAGCATATGAATTGGATTACAATTGACTTTGAAAGCATGAGGAGAGTAGTTACCCAGCAGTAACACTCAACGATAGCACAAAATAATTTTAAAAATCATTGCTCATATGCGATTAAAAATTAAATATGATCTATACCTGAAAAACTGGTGTCTTTAATAGTTTAAGAATTTTAGCATCGCCTTCACCTCTAATTGTGCCAATGATCAAATTTAAACAAAAATAAATTTGACCGTGTACAATTTCGTATTTTTATTACGATCGAAGATTTAACTAATGTTTTCGTTTTAGCCAAAACCTGTGAAACCTGTAACGTCATAATATTATTGTGCATACTCGATACGTATATATTCGCGATAAACTATTTCAATTTACAGGGTAGTGTCTAGTCCAGTGGTTTTCAACCTTTTTCGGATTGAGACCCCCCCCCCAATTTTTTTATTTTTTTGGGTATTCTGGTTTTATAAAAATCCAAAATCTATCAAATTACTTGTAATTTCATTAAACATTTTCATCGAAAGATAACTCGATTATTTAGTTCTTCTTCCATAACTAAACTTAATTCAGAATCCATTTCATTTATATGAATAGAAAATGTATTTCTTATCCATCCTAACTTTTTTTCTGGAAACGTTCCAAACTGTGTTAAAATTGTTTTTCAAATTTTTGATATGAAGTAATAATATTTTCTTTATTCTTTTAATATCAAATATTTCATTGCTACTCATAAATTCTGAAAAACATGAAAACCAACAATGGATACTTACCTTCAGTATGAAGAGGTATTTCTGTATGATCAGATACCATTTCATTCCCACTTTATTTTATTTTAAAATCATTTTTAAAAATCATTTCGTCTATTATTTTTGCGACTCCCAAACCTATCATTCTCAACCCTCAAGTTGAAAACCACTGGTCTTGTCTATAGTTTGTACACCTAGCGTCACGGACGTCGTTATAGGATAAAAAATAGCTGGCACGTCGAATTTACTATAGGTATTGTTATTATCAAGGCTGTGAATTAAATGCACTAAGTAACACTGTTATAAATATGCATGGCGCATGCACTTGTACATTAAAAATAACCAAAATATGCAAAAATGTTTTAAATACGAGTCTTGTCAAGGTTTGGTACATTAATTAACTGCCTTATTTTTTTTTTATTAAATTATATTATTTATAATACTGACCTATTTCCTGCGTTTAAACAAAAATAACATAAGTATAGGAGGGATACTCGGTAGGTACCTAAATCACTTGAAATTTTTTCTTCGTAATTTATTGTATTCACTGACAAGCGTCTGTGGTCAACTTTAACAAAAACAAAAACACATTACTTAATATTTATATTTTATTAAAAATAAGAATAATATTATGCAATAAATAGGTTTTTTATATCCACTATAGTTAAACCAAATATTTTAACCGACATTCTAATTTCTTCTATAAAGTAACAACACAAAACAAAAAAACGTTAAAATTCACAGCTTTGTTAATTTTATATTATATTATAATTAGGTTAGATAGGTCAAATTTGTAAACTTTAAAATCGTACGACTCAAAATTAACAAGCTGAGCCGCTATATTTAATGTTCTAACTCGTTGCGATAATATTATGTTGTGCTAAGGGAAAATTATATTATAATGTTAATTAGATAATAATGTTCAATTTTTGTCACGACTTGCACGGCACTCGAGATCGTTTGTGTGTTTGACGTATATTATAATAATATACACTTAGTAATTAAATTTGTTTAAAGCAATAAATGTCTTTTAAAGGTTAATATTTTTATATTTTTACATATACGCACCTATACGTCTATAGTTAGTAATTGGTTTTCTTTTTACTACCACTAATGCCGGGTCGCATGAACAATCGCTAAATATTTAACGAATCAATAGTGAGCTAATGGTCCCTCCACACATGATTTAGTTGATTGGTCCTTTAAATTGTATTATTGAACCATTAAATTAACACATTTTTCATGCAACCCGACATGAGTGTTGTAATAATTGTAATTCTGCGAGGGCGTCTCCGAGAACAACTTGGATTCTTCTGCTTTAGTTATGGTCGATTAGATATATTTTTAATTTTTTTTTTTTTTTAAGTGATCCTGTCAGGACTCGCAGACACTCTTGTGCTTGACACTTGTTAAGAAAATAGTAAATACAATATATTTTATACAAATATGATTTCAGAATAATTCATTTTATGATGATAGTTATTAGTTTCAATAATTATATATACTTAATAGTATAGTGAATCGTAGGGTTTTTGTTGATTTTTAAATTTTAAAGTGAATTATATTAACTATGAAAAATATTAAATAATATTAATTTAAAAATGCTCATGCCTCTTTAAAAAGTAAATAAATTAATAGTCTACAAGATGCATTAGAGAATATTTTTACTTTTAAATTTAATGATTTCTTCAATTCATCCTTAAGGTGTCCACACACTGCAGCGGTGGCAGTGGTGTGTAGGACACATTTCACCGCTCACCGCGGCGGTGAAGCCAAGACAATAGAATTTAACGCCACCGCCACCGCCACCGCTGCAGTGTGTGGGGATCTTTATGCATTAAAATTAATGACACAAAATAGATTCTGCCTAAACACAAATTTGCCATACGCTTGTAAGACAGACACAATACCTACGTGTGACACGATATACGTGTGATCCAAAAGGATACCAAGGATACAATAATACAATATAGCATTATCTCAATCCAATAACACGTCCGATTCACAGTATCCTCTTTCAATATTATTTACCTTCATTGTACGGGACAGCTACATCACTATCTATGCCACCTACGCAGTGCCGGATTTAGAACAGGTGCCGCCCTAGGCTCTTTTAAATAAGCCGCCCCTACCCTAAGAAAAAAAATGTAGAATTTATAATTAATACATTTATTTCATTATAAACAAATTAGGTCAGTAGTAATTATAAACAAAACAAGTAATTATAAATTCTAATAAACAATAATACATCTTTTTTTCACTCTCTTACAAAATTTGCGGCCCCCAAAAATTTGCTGACTTAGGCGTAAATCCGGCCCTGCACGTACGTGTCAATCATTAATTAACAACATATCTTTTTGAAAAAGCTATTCCTTACCTAATGATAATATATAAAATAATACATAATTTGTTTTGTTTAAAACTGCTTCTGCTTATGTCGACGGCGGGCCAATCATAATGGAGTGGTAAAAACACGGCTAACGAAAAACACTACAACCAAGACGTATTCTGATTTCTTGCCTTTTGTTTTATTGTTTTCAGACACGACGTCAACAATATCATTCAAAGAAACGATTAATATGATCGCCGAACAAAACGCACTGCAGTCCAACGACCGCGGGCGACGCTTAAGACAACAATAATAATATTATATAATTTCGTAAAACAAAAAAACGTTGTTTTTATTATTTAGTTTAAATCTATTTTATAATCAAATCGCTTTTAACGACGCCTACTTTTGTAATTTTTAAACTCATTAGTGTTTATAGTCTGCAAAAAGAATCATAATATTATGTAATAATAATTTTGTCATGCAGTTATAATATATAATAACACACCGGCCTGTTGTCATACGTAATATTATGTATATCGCAACTCTGCAGCGTAGTTATATGTAATTTTTCATATTTTTGTATTAATTTTTACTGTTTCTGTGCGTCGCCAAAAGCCACCAAACGAAATCGTTATTATTCGTAGCCTATATATACATATTATTATTATATAAAAAATAAATACTCTCGTAATTCAAACATTCGATCAATCATCACATGACGTGTTCTCGAACAACGACTCACTCGAGGCTCGCTGTTTTCGTTCTCGTACAATGAATGAATTCCGCGGCGGACAGAACAAATTAATCTCCTCCCTCTCGGCCTCACCGCGTAGACTAATTTTTATTATTATTGTATTATTAAATTTAACACTATTATATTTATACATTGACTATTAATAAATCGTATATCATATCGTGCCATACATTTGCTATATTATTTCCATCTACCTATACATAACTATACAACTTAAGCAGGGTATATCATCATACTTAAAACTTCAAAATGTTTAAAATACTAGTAAGTACAATTTTTTTATTGACATCGAGTTAAAATTTTACAATTGAATTATAACTAAACAAAAAACTAAAATTGTATTATTAATTTATCATAGGTAGTTTAAAATCATAAGGACTTGAAACTTTATGCGATTATGCCAAACTATATGTGCTGCTGAAATATTGTAGATTTATATAAACTAAATACATATAAGAATCGCTGCTTCTCAGAAACCTTATCAATCTAACAGTAAGCATTGATACAACCAATTTATATTGAAGTTTATTATTATTATATTATAATCAGTGCCGAAACAACCGCAGGGGCAGCCGGGACAATTCCCCTCAGAGGGCCGCTAATCGTTTACTCAGGGGGGCCCAACAGCGCTTCGCATCCTTTTTAAATTTTTAGGTTCACACCCATCCCCCCACCATGAACACTTTACAAACCTAATATTTGTACTTACAATATAATTATAAATTATAATAATTTATTGGTAATAAATCTAATTTATCACCCACCCAAATTTTTTTTTGTCGGTAGGTAACCTATGCATATATTACAAGTTACAACGAATTAAGAACGATTTTGTGGAAATCATTAGTTTTTAATTGAAAACGACGGGGAAATCTGAATTTGGCAGTCAGACTTAGGGCCGTTCTTACAATGTCCGGTAAAGTGTCGGTTAACGCTAACCGACTGATAACAGATTTTATTACCGGCAGAATTCCTCCGGTTAAGTGTCGGTTAACTTTAACCGGACGTCGTAAGAACGGCCCTTAGTTTAAAGTTTTATAGCTAATTTAAATTTTTGGTATTTTCAAATATACCCTGCGTATATTAGTCACTCGTACGCTGCGCTCGCACGGAAAAATAAAATCAAAAACATCCCTCGACTTGTTATGTAAAAACACCATGGGTGGATGTAAGAATTATTTTTGCACCATCATTTTTAAAGGTTTGATTTACATAGGTTAAAAAAACAATTTTAATTTGTTATAGGTACTTAAGCTCAGTACGCTTTAAGCGTTGTATGGGCGCGTAAAACACTGAAAATCGTGAACTTCATAAGGCTATACCATAAAAACTAATTATTTCCGGCAATTCATTTTTGCATCATATAACTCTTAACTAGTAGCAACACAAAATACATTTTATGATTAATTCGTTGTGGTAAAAAAATCATTTATTAATTTTGTCTGTATTTAAGTTTTAAATTATACTGGTACAACTCTATCTGGCAGTCTTTTAGACCGCGTTAAAGACTATGATAAATAGTTAACGTCTAAATTTCTGTTCTATCCTAACCTAACCTAACTTAACCATTATTTAAATATTTTCTTTCATTGTTATGTTTACAATATCGAATACCTTGATAGTTAGTAGGAAAAGATCATTGCAAAGCCCAAGAAACAGTGATGATAGACGTCTATCATCACCATTGGATCCACTAACCATAGGTTTATCTAATTAACCTTCTTATGACTTATTAAGACACTTAAAATAAAAAATCTTGAGTCTTTTGCCGAACTTAAGTGTTTGATTATCAAGTTATCCTTCTATTGTTGACACCTTAAGCTTAAACCATATACTATGGATGGAGACATACTTAGTTCACTAGCCATTGGCGCATCAATGGGGGGGGGGGGGGGGAAGGAGCAGTTACTCCAGGCGACAGGGACGGCCAAATATTTAGGTGCGACAAAAAAAAAGTAACCTAACCCATGGTAGTTTTACATGACAAGTGGATGGATGTTTTAGATTATAATTGTATGAGCGAGCGCAGCCGGGTACGCCGGGTATATATGAAAATACCAAAAATTTCAATTACCTAGCTATAACTTTCGAATAAGTCTGATCGCCAAATTCAGACTTCAATGCCATTTTCAATTAAAAACTAATGATTTCCGGCAATTAATTTTTGCAATATTGTTCTTAATTAGTTGTAACTTGTACTATCACGATGAAGTGTTGTTCGACGATTTAATTCAGTGGTTAAAACCGGTCACTTTGTAGGCGTAGATGACGTTACCACTGGAAGCAAAAAGAGTGTTTCAATTTGCCGTTCTTCGTGGTAATTCAATTTGTCCGGGAACAAGAAAATAATGTTAAAATTCATAGACGCGACAGCCAAATCTGACCTTGTTAATACTAATAAATTGTGCACGACAACATTTTTAGAAAAATTAAATAGTACGTATGAAGTCACATGTAAGCCACTAAGCCATGGTTATGTTCGAATAAATTTAATGGACAGACAAAGAAATATTATTTTATCGATCTTCAATGACTATATAATAATTTCACAGCTAACAACAACTTCTTAGCTCTCGCCAACTTAGACACACTGCGATAATTGGTCGCTCTTCTGTAGTGGATAAGCCGAAATCTACCCAGGGCCGGCTCAAGCAAAAATAGTGCACTAGGCAAAACCTAAATTTGCCGCCTCTAAAAAAATTTGAGCTCTAATTTAAACTTAGCCCCTCCCCCTATTTTTTATGTGACATAAACACCTACATGAAAATTTTTTTTATTTTTTTATTTTAAAGGAATAACAACTAGTGTTGGGACTATTGGGTTATTTTTATATATTTTTTATATTAATGTCATATTTGTACAGTTATATAATATAACTGATAATAAATTCATTAGGTAGGTACACATATTTACATTTTAAGAATTCATAATAATATATTCAAATATTTATTGCTTTATAAAATATTTTTCACTTTTAACCTTACAAATAATTAAACCTTTGTCATAATTTTAAGAAATAAAAATTATAATAATAATATTGATAAAATAAAATAAAACAAACTTAATTTTATTTAAAATTGACTTTTCTTGCTTTTAGTGAAGCAAAGCTCTGTATAAGTTCATCCATGTCTAATTCTTCAGCAATTTCACTTTCAATAGATAGAGTGGCTAATCCTACTAATTGGTCTTGAGATATATTTGTTCGCAAATAATTTTTTAATATTTTAAGTTTTGAGAAACTCCTCTCGGCTGTTGCAGCAGTTACAGGTAAAGTCAATAGAATCCTTAGTATAACATAAGTATTAGGGTAAAGTTCTATCAACTTGTTTCTACATATGTACGTAAGAATTGATTTCGGATCACACGTTTCGAAAGTAAAACGTTTTTGCAAAGATATAATTTCACCATACAATTCAACAGCAACTATATCCGTACTTAATCCATCACTTGAAGTTAGGGCTATTTGTAAATCTTTACAATTTTTCATAAGTTCATCAAAATCAGAAATTTCAGTTATATTATAGAGAAATGAAAATAAATCGCTGTGATCTGTAAGTTGTGAAAATCTGTCATTGATTGATTGAATAGCAGTGTCTAAAATCTGATTGAAAAAGTTAATTTTAAAACTTTGTTTTGGGTCATGAATAGGTTCGTCTCGTGATTCATATGCAAATTGAGTAGTTCTACGACGAATTCGAGTTGGGACAGGAAAGTTAGCCTCAATTTGAAGTTCATTTGCTAGTGTCTTAGCTTGTCCTAACGTCTTTTGAAAACCTTCATCTGTACGATATTCTTTCAAAAATATTATTGTATTCTTTAATTGTGTTATAGTTTCTGAAATATTCAATGACACAGATTGAAGTAATTTACTTGTATGGTTAATTTCGAACAATATATCATACCAAATAACAAGACAACACAAAAATTTAAAATCAACTAATTTTTCAGCAATACTTTTAGCTTCTGCACGACATTTTACTCCAGTTGCATTCACAAGTGTTAAGTCTTCTACAATTTCTATTAATGAATCATACACTTCCCCAACTTGAAATCGAATGGCTTTAACAGCGTCAACTCTGCTCTCCCAACGTGTTGCACTTAATGGTTTTAGGGTAAGACTACTAACATGTTTTTTAAATACGTTCCAACGATGAGTTGATCCCGAAAAAAATACATAAATCTCTTGAATTAAACCAAAAAAATTAACGGCATCTAAACAGCAATTCGCAGCGTCGTTTAAAACTAAATTTAAGCAATGGGCATTACATGGAACGTAAAATGCTCTTGAATTAATTTCTCTCACTCTAGCTTGAACGCCACTATTTTGACCTCGCATATTTGAACCATTGTCGTACCCTTGGCCTCTCATGTCATCGATAGGTATATCTAAGTCTTTTAGTTTTTGAATAAGAACATTTGTCATGTTTAACCCAGTTGTGGAATGTAATTCGATAAAATCTATGAAATGTTCATTCACGGAAACGTTTGTATG